ACACACACACACACACACACACACACACACACACGTAGAAGCTATCTCGACATAAGCCCTATTCCCGTTTTCCCACGTTTCATTTTAGCTCAGACATGATTTTTCAGAAAACATTCATATCTTCCTACATTGCCATAATCTGACATGTCTTTCAGCCACAATCTTACTCAACACCATCAAACAACTCGGAAGACATATGCTGTTAACTCAGTGTCTTATAATAGGAAAAAGAGAACCAGCGCAGTTGTACTTTTGAAATGGATGACTGGGCTTTTTATACTGACATATGGACACAAAGCTGTGATGACAGTTTGTCTCACAAGTGTCATTTCTCTTCAAACCCAAAGAGAGAAAAGGGAACTGGCGCTGATGGAGAGGACAGATAGCGAGGTGGCAGCTGGATGAAGCTAACACCCTCTGCTGATCTGAAGGCAGTAAGGCGTAGCCGAGTTCCTGCAGTAACATGTGGGGGCGAAGTGCATCCACATTTGCGCGCGCGCACACAGACACACACACAGCCCCTCCTGCACTCATATACTAAGTTAGCTAGTCAGAACTCATTTTGTGTGCTCACCAAAACTTCCCCAATACAAACAGGAAAGACAGATTTAGCTGTCAGAGGAGGCTCCTGAAGTTTGTCACAAAGAAATTCCCACAAATTTCACATGCATTTGTTGCACCTTTGAGATCCCATATCAGGGAGCTTTACTGGCACACGTAATTGATTTCTCTCCTTGCTGTGGGTGAAGTGAAATATAAGTGGGAAGTGGGATTTTTTTTTAAAATTTGCATATTCTCTCATTCTTTTCTGGCCCAAAAAATGTAAAATTAAACTATTGTTCACTTTGCTTGAAATCCCCTTCACCCTCTGTCCAACAAAACCACTTTCACATAGAAGCTACACGCACAGAAGACCACGTATGACACATTCGCCACATAGACGACACATATGTGAAGAGACATGCGACTCGTTTTTGTATTTTCTCAAGATGGAGTCAGATTAAATCCTGCGATGATCCCGTTACAAACACCACCATCTCCCCTCCATCCATGGATGGAGGGCCAAAACTGCCAAAATCAAAGATAATTAACAAAATAATTACAAACGGCGTGAAAACTTCAGATAGAGGAGACGAGCATTTGTAGGTGTTTTTTTTAAGCGAACATCTACATTTGCTTAAAAGTCCTGATGTCATGTTTGCTTCTTTACGCTATGTTTTGATCGTGGCTGATTCTGCATCAATGCACCAGAATCTCTTTAATACATTTAGTGAAATGAGCAAAGGGTTTACTTCCCAAATGATCCTAAACAATACAAGGAGCTGGATTAGCTCAGACCGTCAGTTCTCTAGCTGTTCCTAACTGCAGACTCTGGTGTAGCTCTGGCATCCATCGTGAAAGAAAATCTAGAAATAAATGAGGACATAAACAGGAAGGCGAAAGAAAATATACAGAAATACTTTTAGAAATTATATAAAAAAAACATTCAGAAGCAAATTAAAATAGAAATATTGGGTTGTGTTGTGCAGTCCCCAAAATAAGAAAGGCCTACATTTATTTTCAACACATTCACCACATTAATTGAGCCATTTACTTACATATGTATTTATTTTAACTTTGGCAGCTTCAGCCAGCCATACATTTCATCATTTTCAGAATCTGTCAACACGTACTGCATGGAACAAAGTGATCAGTCTCTTTTTCCCTCCTGATTTAATGGAACCTAGAAGATTTCATCTGCTGCCACACGTATTTTGAGGCCTTTAGCTTGACTTTATACTGAATTTTTATCCACCTTGTTCGATCTCCTTTACCTCTGTCCTCCATACATGTAGTGCAGTTTTGTACTTTCAAGGGTTAAATGTAATGATGGAACCTCTGTCTCACTGTACGGCCTTTTCTGCACAGTGTGAAGGGAACCGGTGCTGTATAAATCAAACAGAAGTGAGAAATGTAATTGAACACTGTGTGTTTTGTGTGACTAAAAGTCTTGTGAAAAACTGTGAAGCAACTTGTGGGGAGCGCTAAATGAGTACAATATCTGGAGTGAGAAGCAGAGTGATGTGTCCTTTGAAGCCGTGAACTACACTCAGAAAACCACAGCTGAGAAAAAAAGAGACATGTGACCTTCGAGATAATAGGATTTTTTTTTTTCTGCAGTCTTGAATTGCCAAGTGTTTGTCAGAGAAGCTAAAAGTCTTTCGGCGTGGTGCAACTTGTGTGTGACAAAGGAAGAGCTGTCTTTTATTACTTACATCTTTACACTGATAAAAAACAAAAGCATTTACACAATAAATGTAATAAGTGCTCATATTTTTGGAACATTTGAATTAACATATGGAACTGAGGATTAGGATATACACAGCGGCTACAGCAGGGACCATTAAGTACAAATATATGCATGAAAAAGGAGGTAGAAGTGCTCCTGCATTAACATTTTACAGGCCATCTTTTCAGATGACTACAGTATGACTAAAAACACCCTGAAACCCGTTACACTCGTATAACGTCTCCCTCTCCAACACACACACCCACCCACCCACACACACACACACACACACACACACACACACACACACACACACACACACACACACACACACACACACACACAGGCAGAAAGTGATAGCTACTTCATGAATTCATTTCTGACACTACTTATATGAGTTAATCTGCTGTTTTTCTCATGCAGTGCTGGTGTTGTGCCTGCAGTCTACTTCAACTCTAGGCGGTGCTCGCCACGGGCTATGTGGGAAGAAAACTCGTAACGGTCCCGACTGCGGTGGCCACACACGTTACACTCGAGCGGATCGCGGAAGCCGTGGCACCCCATGTGGATGGTGAACATGACATAGTCCAGGAAGATCACCCTGCAGTGGCCACAGGGGTACACGGCCCCGGGCACGGTCTCCCCGTCAGCTCGCATCACTCGCAAAGCCTCAAGAGGCGACAGGGGGATGGGCTGGGCGTGTGGGTGAGGCATGCCGTTCTGGGAATTCAGCCCCCCAAGCAGGTGGCCTAAGCTGTACATGACAGGCTGGGATATCTGGGTGTTGTCATTGTGGTAAGAGTCCATGCCAAGGGGAGGCTGGGAGGCGTGAGGGATTCCCAGGAGCGGCATGGCCATCTTGTGGCCATTGGTGAGGCCCATGGGAGTGATGTCGCCACGGGCTAACGAGATGGGGTAGGGCCTGTGGGAAGGCGGTTGGTCACCATTGGGGCCTGGGTGGATCGGTTGTTGCTGGTGATGGGCGTCTGGCCCCGGGGAGTCCGACGGAGGATCCTTGACATCGGTTCGGTGGACCAGATCCCTGTTAAAGCTCAGGTCCAGGCACACGCCGTTGTCGCCTAGACGACAAGAAAGAGCTCAGCACGAGGAGACTTTGCAAACCTCATCCAGCAGCACGGGCAGAGAAACAACACAGGAAGCAAGAAGCAGTTAAAACAGATGGAAAAGATTTAGACCCTTGCTGGGTTTCTCACTCCGCCGTGCAGTCGAGTGCAAAACATGCCCCCTGAGGGCGGGAAAAAGCAAAAACCTGGAAAGCGCCAGGTCGACGGGACAAAAGCAGCTTTAAAGCCTGGCAGCATCCCGAGGCAGCAGTTAGGGACAGGGAGGAAGCATACGACGCAGATGAAGGCCTCTGTAGTGCAGCTGGTGTAATGACAGAGAGACACCTGCTCACGTTTCTCGCCTCGCGCCTTGTTTGCTCTCTGTGGTTACTTCTCTTTTTCCTCCTGTGGTTGTCATATTGAAAGATCTCACTTCATTTGTAAACCTGATGGAGATGTAGGAGGGTTTTTTTTTTTAATTGCCAAAACACTCATGCTTTTTGCGAGCAGCTCGAAGCTCGATTGCGAAACTACAACTCAGTGTTAGTCTTAACCAGAAAGGTGAGAGCAAGCTATTGAAAATCATTGTGCATGTGTGTGTATATATACGCCCATAAAGTTTGGGAAATCACTGTGGCAAGTCAGCCATTTACCGAAACTGATACTTCTGATAATTACCAGCTCAAATTATCTCAGATCGAATCAAAACACAAGCAGTTAGTAATGGAACTCAGAGGTTTCATGTGCATGACACTATTTTATTAACCGTGCAATAATTACCAATACCCACCGATGACACAATTCCTGCAGAGAATTTGGAGCAGTGGGGACCACTCTGTGGTGTGTGCAGGTATGAGGCAGGTGGTCTGCCCTGAAACCCCCTTTGGCGACAGATGAAGGCCAGCATAGACAGACAGACAAACAAGTAGCTCAGACAGACAACTTCAAATTCTGCATTGTGCAGCATAAAAGCGCAGCAAAAGGCAAAATGACAAACGATACGTATAAAAGCTGGAGCCACTAAATATTCCTTAAAGATATAAAAGCACATTTTTAAAGAGAAATCTGAGCGCTTTCATCGGCCTGAGGTGTTTATACCCTTACCTGTAAACTTCTGTGGCATTGAACTCTTCCGCTTGGCTACGTTGCTGGCGAGCCTGTCGAGCAGCAGCGCACGCTCAGTACCCATCTGAGTCCTGGATGTGTGACTGTCCTCTGCTTGGCAGCAGAAGAGCACAGAGAGAGAAAGAGAGAGAGATAAGGAAATGAAGACTCTCTTTTTGATCAGGCAGTGTCATGAGTGCACAGCTGTCCATCAGCCTTTGAAGTCACAGAGTTTTTTTTAAAAAAAGGAAGAAACTCAAAAAACACAGCAGCTGCGCAGAAGCGCAGTTACACCGGGAGGAACGAGATATTAATTTGAGAGCAGACGCTCCTTTGACCTCACTTCCTGGTTGCTTTTTTACTTCACCAGCACAGGAGAGGAGACCACAGGATGAGGATGTACTTCCTCACCACTACGGCACTATCAGGCATAAACTTACGACATTTGGTGACCACAGAAACAGAGCATTGTCTGTGTGTTGCAACCATGCTGTTGTCCTCTGAGTACATAAAGGCTTTTCTGTTTTTTTATTTGGAGGGAAGGGGGAGGTAAGGTGGTGTGCGCTTGTGTTCCTGCTTGTGTCGGGTGGCTGGGCTGAAGCATTTGCCCTACATTATTTAGCTTCCCCTTTGATGGTAGAGAGATGAGAAGCGGTCTTCTGCACGCTGAGCCTGTACGCCACAGCAGCCATAACCCGTTTAGCTGTAAGTGCGGGGTAGTAGCCATAAGCTTGTTATTTTTAATGGGGCTATAAAAACAGGATCTGTTAAGTGTGCACCTGCACGAGCGTGTGCATTTCTGCACGAGCTGCAGAAATGCATGCGTTCTTCATAACTTTAACACCTATACGTGCATGTGTGAACCGAGTGTCCCTCGGAGACATGTTGGAGCCTTCTTACAAGCGTGGTGGTGAGACAGTGTGTGCGCACCGCTGCTCACCTCTCTCGGCGGGACCTTTGCTCTGAATGTACACATGGCACCTCTCTCGGTGCTCCTCCAGCGAGCTGCGCTGCTTGTAGCTGCGACTGCAATGGTTGCACTTGAAGGGCTTCTCTACTGCGAGGCAGAGGTTTCAGTTAAACACTCAAACACATCAACGGCATGGAGCAAGCATTACTTCGTTAAGTACGCGGTTTCGTACAAAACTGATGATGGTGTGCATATTGGAGGCCGTGCAGGAGAAACACGTGAACTGAAAGTGAATGAGTAAGTTTCCAGAGGTGAATGAGTAAGCTAATCATATGTGATGTGTGTAACCATATGAGAATGCATGGCAAGGTGTTACTGGAAAAGCCATGTAGCCTCAGCAGACCTCAGATTCAAAAGGAGTGAGAAACCAACCAGCATGGTACTGTACGCAGGTGCATACAGTATCAGAGCTTATCAGTGTGAGTGTGTGTGTGTGTGTGTGTGTGGCTGCCTGGTACCAGAGTGGGTGCGCAGGTGCCCGCTCAGAGCGTCACGTCGCCGGCAGGCGTAGCTGCACATCGGGCATTTGAAAGGCTTCTCCCCGGAGTGCAGTTTGATGTGGCGAAGCAGGTTTCCCTTCTGGGTGAAGGAGGCCCCACACTGAGTGCAGTGGAATGGCCTCTCGCCTGAAAAAACACAGCGTTTGAAACAATCCTGCACGTTCTCACACGACACCGGCTTCTTTAATCACACAACTTATTCTGATTTCGACCACCTGCTGCGAGGCTCCTGTAAGCAAAATAAAAAACCCCACTGTGGTATTCTTATGTTCTTGTTGGGTGGAAATTTTGCAATAGCGCAGATATTTGTTGGCTTCCATTTTTTTTTGACTTTAGTTGTTTTCTTGTTCCTACGATGAATTGCAAAAAAACACAGAATCATTCACCATCTTTAAAAGGGGAAGAAAGTAACGTCCAAACCTAGAAAAGACTGTTCTCACGGACAACTCAGACCGCACAATTGCCAAGCAGATTGTGCATGACTTCCCATGTCAGAAACAAAGCCTCACGGGTGCCAAACGAAGACTAGCACTGCTCGGCTCTACTCAGTGAAATGCAGCTCTAATGTTTGTATGTTTTACAACAAAAGTCGCGATTAAATGTCACAGAGACACACGAGCCTTTCAAGTAAGCGAGCACTGCATCAGACGGTGGATTATGGTTGTTACAGGGAGTATGGTCGCCTCAGCGTCTTCACTTCTTAACCATCAGATTTCCTCACGTCTAGCGGATTTTCCTCAATTTCTCTCCTCAGCTCGCCCACTGAGGTCTAACAACAACTTGAAATTACAGTTTGTTCCACGCCCCCGCCCAAGGACACGAGGTGATCGAGCTTTTCGAGGCCACAGCAGGCGACCTGTGGAACGCTCTGCTTCACCTCTGAGGTTTTCCGATTCTGTCATCTCTTTTAAAAGTCAGCTAAAGTCACTTGAGCATTTAAGTAACGTGCTTGCCCCAGCTAAGGACATTTGCGCCTTTGAATCCGTGTACTGCTCTAGACTCTGTTTTATTGGGGCAGTTGTGTGTGTTCTTAATCTATCTTCTTTTATCTGTGGGTAAAAAGTGCCATATAAATAAGTACCCTATCTACTCCATCATAACCGTAACCCCAACACTATTTTTTTTTGCTAGAATATTCTTCTGACTAAGATTTGAGAGTTTCAGAAGCCTAAAATCACATAATCTCACAGCACAGGATTATAATAATTGTCTGCGATGACTTAAAGCTAAACTCTGCTTTGTTAGTCAGACTGATGGAAGACGGGACAAAAATAATCTTCGTGACTCATTTTGAAGACATTTAAAATGTAGCAACATGAGAATTTCTGACCTTCTTTCACGTTTTTGATATTTTTTGTGCGCCGCCGATAACTCCATATATCAGTTCTATGGATAAGCTGACAGAGTAATCCCATGAGTGGGATGAGTATTATTTTCCATACTTTAACTGGGCTCTGAGCACGCTGGTTAGGTCATCACTTCAGAAAATCTGTCATTCATTTCAGGATTTTAGGGCAGAACGATAACTGCAGCTGCAGTCTGATGTGCTGACCTATCTGCTGCTGCGATCAAATCACACAGTTAGTGCATGCGTGGAATATATGAACAACAATAGAGGCTATTTCACAATCTGTCAGTTAGCACACGATTGTGTGTTCCTAATCGCTTTGACAGAGTCAATAAAAGGAGACCTCAGGGCCATCAACAGCGCGGCGATTGCACAACTGCGATCTTTGAGGTCAGCGTCCCTCTGCTTACCCGTGTGGCTGCGCTTGTGCACCAGCAGTACGTTAATGCTGATGCAGGACAAGCCGCAGATGTCACAGCTGAGCTTGCCTGTTGGTTGGATGCGAGGCGGCCCGGCTCCAGGTGCGTAAGCGCCTTCCGCGTTGGCGGCAGACGCCGCTGCGCTGGCGTCGGGGAGGGCCGCGCTGTCGTAACGCGAGTAGTCCACCAGCGACAGGTCCTGCGGCTCACTCAGGCCATCTCCCTCTTCATCCCCTTCCATGTCCCTCTCCTCATCATTCTCTTCCTCTGTCCTCTCCTCATCAAAACCTTCCTCCATCCCGTCCTCACTGCCTCCCTCTGCTTCCTCTTTAGGCACAATCTCTTGGTCTTTTTCAGCCTTGAGAAGCTGCTCGTTATCTTCCATCTCCTCAGCCTCGGACTTTATCACACCTGAGCAAAGTGGAAGGAGGGGACAACCAAAATATGCATTTGGAGAGACATTTCACAGGAATGTGTAGAGCATTTTCCAACAAAGGAGCTAGATAAGCTGTGAGCAGAATGTGGAACACAGTCACGTCTTTACTTCCACATTTGTATATAAGGTCGATAGCAAGATATTAGTACTAGCACATCTCCAAAGTGTGGGTAGCCTAATTTGGGCCGATGCATAGTGTCACAGAGAGATTCAGAAGATGTGTGCTTGAGATAAGGAAAGGCATTTCCTCTACACAGCGGCTAGAACCAGGGCAGGAGAGAGAGTGAGTGAGTGAGCAGGCGCCTCAGACAGACAACACTAATTCCTCATCTGCCTTTGAAGAGTCATTTCAGACTGACTGTTCATCACGTTGGTCACAAAGGCTTAAAAGCATCCAAATTTAAGGGTTAAAAGGTGTTAAAGTGCACCTAAAGTCCTCTCAGTGTCCCCTCAGCCAGCCAAGCACCAATTACATCACCTATACAAGCAAGATTTTCCCGCTTTTGTTTTTTTTTTTCTGGTTTCTAAACCACACGCTCAGCTCAAACTACTTCTCCATGCAGGATTTAGCAATTTCATTTATTAACACCACATCTGCCTACACGCAGAGTCCTAAGGCCCAATGTACAGGACCTCTCACCTAGCCTCTTGCAAGCGTTAACCAGCCCCCCAGCTTATTCAGTTCCATCCAAAAACCACACTGTGGTCTTGGCGGTGACTGATGATGAGCTGAAGAGCAGCGCCTTGTATTGTGGAAAGCGCTCAGAGGTGCTATGGAAACTTTGCACACACAGAGCTCCGAGAGGCCCGATATAGAGTCCAGTGTCTCAAAGCAGTGAACCGCAGGCTGCGCATTAGACGCAGAGCAGGGCTTTAGGAAGTGCACCCAGTGGGGTAGATAGATGGGTGGCAGTCAGAAATAAAGAGGAGAGCTGTCTGTAACACCATGTTCTTTTTTTTTTTAAGTGAGAAATTAGAGAGTTAGGGCTGAATGACAAAGTCAAGACAATTCAACATTAAAAATATCGTGTGAAACAGAGTTGTCACAGTTTCTGCCCGCTTGATGACAAGAAGAGAGCTTTTAAAATGCAGCTTTTATCACAGAAGCACGAACGTGCAGTGAGAACTAAAACCAGACCATGTCTACCACACGCTGGAGACAGCCTCTCATACCTACATACAGTGTGTGTTCAGTCAGTTTTAATCAAAGGGTCTCTACATGAAAGATTAAAACTAAATTTAATTCTGTATTATCTGTCATCGGGCTCCTAGTAGAAATTTACAAGAAGAACAAGTTTTGAGTAATGATGCAGAAACAGAAGGAGCTTTTCTGGTCACTCTGCTGTGACCAGAAAAAAGAAAGAGAGAAGAGACTGCAGAGTGTGGACACGACACTGGCTGAGAAAATGGAGACAGAGTCCCTGCTGGTTCTCATCAGTGTTCTTGTGACCAATGTTCACCATGTACAAGGAGTTAAAAAGGTCTGATTTTAGACGTCTCAGACTGAGTTTAATGACACCAAATGCTGGAGATGAGGACAGATTTAGGCTTCTGTGAAATGACTTCATCTACTTCCAGACTCAGAGTGCAAACCTTTGGTTTTGGTGCAGCCCTCAAGTTTTCCTGTAACACTGTGATGCAGCAGGAACAGGACTCGGACCCAGGGACGTTTCTGTGCAGTTTCATCATATATGTTGTAGACATCATCGCAGACTAATAAGTCCTACCATGTCTAACACACTGAGGTGTTGGTCAATATAACCGACTTTGCTGTGAATGTTGTTTTGATGTTACAGCTAAATAGACAAAGCAAAGGCTCGATGCCTCTCTTTCACAGGTGTTCTGCTGAATCTGTTTTTACTTCTTGCATCACTGCTTTCTTTGGGGTCTAAACCTGCCCAATAAAAACAGACCCAGTGGTCTCGTAAGAACAGGTCTGATGGGCCAGGCCAAGCTTTGGGTCAGCTATAACAGGAAGGGTCTCTGGAGGGCTCCTGTCATACTGGGCTGTCTGAACCATCCACACCACAGGCAGATTGAGCTTTTGCTCGAAGCTTTCATCATCTCTTTGTCTCCTTTTCTGCATTCTGACTGCATTTTAGGAAGAATCCAGGATGGATGTTTCCATTTCATCCAATTACTTTTCTGGTTGTTGTCATATTAACTGCTGCCCAATAGGAACAGAAAGACTTCGGACACTCATCAACGCTCATTTATTGACCGGAGCTCTGGGAGAACAAACTCCACATAGCTACGGCCTCACAAGTCTGAACCCACTGTTCTTGTGAGGTGATGGTGCTAACCACTGAGGCATCATGCACCCATATACCATTGGTGTCAAGAAATGTCACCTCACTAACTGGTGAAAAACAACGTTTCCGAACATAAACCACCATCCACTGATCAGATACAGTATGAATGGATATTTGCAGGCCTCGCTCTCTTACTTTCTATATTGGCACGCGGTCAATGAAACTTTAATCAGCTAGATGACCTATCAAATCAATCAAGCACCTCTTCGTCACGTGCAACCTTGATGTAGTTCATGTCAAACCCTGGAAAATGAGAGACATGCAAATACCAGACACAGCTTGTTGCCGAGCTCTTCTCACAATGATTTGGTCCACAGAAAGCCCTCAGCTAGTACACAACAATATTTATTTGGCTTTATAGTATTCAGATAAGCATTTATGCATAAATTTGACAGCTACCGGCACGAACACTAGCTAATTAAATCCAGAAACTTCTGATGTAAAAGCAAAATAACAAATCTGCTTTTTTTGTGCAAGTTTTTGCAGAGATGAGCGTCACAACTGAAAGGTCGCGTGGGAAGTTTCATTTAAAACACAGTTAAAGATCTTTGCTGTTTCACCTGTTACACACATTCCAGTCACCTGCCACGAAACTGGCTGCGCATAAAAATGAAACTCGTCTTCACGTTTCCATCATTTTACGAGCGGGTTTGATAAAACATTTTGCGCTTGCAGCTGCGCTCCTTTTGTGAGCTCAGCGAAGCAGCAGTTCCCTGTCTTTGACTCCAAATGCCTGCTGGTTTGTTGATTCAAACGACAAAATTAAGCTGCAAATTATGCCGTTTGTTGCTTTCGGCGATAGCTAGCCTGTTAGCTCGCAGGTGCAGTGGAGGTGCATGGCCACAGCTACAAATAGGTGGATAAAAAAATGATCAGGAACATAAAATAAGATACGGCCTGATTAGGATTTGCAAAGGGCCGGATTTGGCTCGATTTGGCCAAATGCTCTGGTTACAGGTGACCTTTCACATTTTAATCCCCCTCCTCTACTTTTTCTGCCACTCTAAATGGTTTCCTGTATTTCCTGTCCTCAACCAGTATAATCTATTTCATTGTATGAAAGTATTGTAGCACGATTCCTCAATTTTTTTCCTGAAACAGGCAAAAAACCCAACAAAAGACGTGTAAAGAACAGCTGTAGCACCAATGCCACACACACACACATATACATATATATATATATATTTGTGTGTGTTTGAGAGTGTGAGTGTGTGTGTGGGTACACATACGTGGATCTGCGACACCTTCAGCGGACTGAATTCCATTTTCACTAAATGAGCTGTCCTCCTTCTCTTCTTCCTCCTCCTGCGACTTCACATCTGCAACATCTGAGAAAGTAACATGTTGAGTGGATGTGTTAAAACTGAGCGACGTTTTTCTTCTTAATTAAAAAAGTGTTTTCCGTAGCAACAAATGAACATTAAAACTCCCGGTTAACAGTAAATATGCAGGAAGTCTTGCTCATGACCCCGACACTATGACCTGCTTTCAGCTGCAGCGTGCACAAATCCCTCCACGTACGTGGTGGAGTTTTTAGGCACGACTTCAGCCAGGATGGTGGCCGCTGTGGAGGAATGCGTGCATCCTCATCATCGAAACTTTCACATTAAAGACAAGGAATGCCTATACTCACCCATCCCGTCTGCCTCTGAGGATGTGAATTCAGGATGCTTTTCTGTGCTCATGATGAAGGAAAACGTTCTGTGAGGGGGGGGGGATTTACAGTATTCGGTTAATGAGAGTCTAACCAGATTCTCCCCTTTGGCGCTTTAAAACCAGGTCTGCCAATAAAGATAGAGAAAAGGCGGGTTTGTTTCTTACATTCATTGTGTCACATTTTATCTGACCGTTTGTGAGACAATTTTAACTTTTTCAGATGCTCTCGATGCTAATAAAAGAGCCCCCCCAACCTCCCCTTTACTATTTCTACAAGGCCTGTGAAGAAATAGAAGCAAGACTTGCATCTCTTTGTTCCTGTTGGTTGGACAGTGTAAAAAAAAGAAGAGTGGGTAAAAAAGCCCACGGTTGATTGCTCGACCCTGTCTCTACATTTAGCCTTATGAGAAAGAGATGATGTTCACTGCTCATGTATTTCCTGCTGGGTTTGTACACAGGAGCAGGCGTAAAAGAGCACACACAGACACTCCAGCACAGTTTCAAAATTATTTAAGAAAAATCCAGACGTGCACTTTTTAAAGAAGCCCCCTGTCAGTTTCCACCGAGTTAACAAAGTATTTCATTATATTTTATATTGTTTCAACTATTTATTCGCATCAGCTCTAATAAATAATAAAAACCACACCGTTGATAGGGTTTTCATGATTAACTGAAGCTCTTGCGTTAAAATACATCAATAGGAAACTTTCTCACATGGTCAAAATGAAATTGAGAAGCACATGTCTACATTGCTGCTGTTAATTCCAGGAGACGTCTTTGGTTTTGCTTTTTGCTGGAAGTTAACAGTAAGTCTGAGGAGTAATGATGAGAATAAGATCTTACCTGCTTCTTGCTCAGCACCACAGAGGAGAAGTGCACTCACAGGAGGAGATTCCACACTCCGCCGCTGGACTTTCTCTGAATATGGAATATAAGCAACGTCACAGCCGTGAATTCCTTAAAGGAACAGGAACGCATTTTCAGCAAGGTGGAGCAACAAAGACCAGAGCGTGTGAATCCAGCAGAGCAGCACCGACGGCGAGACTCAGAACAAGTCTGATGATGTTTAAATCTTCAAACATTCCTTCTCTGAACCTAAACACGCGCAGCCAACAACATTTATGAGCGAAACAAAGAACCGATTCGGGGTTTGATGTTACTTCAGGGCGTCCACATGGCTCCAGACTTGGCTTTTAAGGAGATCTAACTCCATCTTGTGGCCAGATGTGAAAGCTACTTCAAAGTCCAACTCGTCTGAAGCTGAAACTTCATTTTTTCTTTTAAGAATTCCCCTCATTTCAGGTGAATAAACAGCTGATATCTGCCCTTTATGGTCCGTACCTGCAGAAGTCAGACACTGGCTTACATCATGGCTCTGCATCTGTATGCTGCAGCTGCTGAGTCTCCCTCTCTTTATTCCCATCTCTGACGCAGAGTTGGAAGAGAATTAGGAAAAAAGCTTTTAAATACTTGTATCCCAATATTGTCTACAGATGAGCTTTAACAGTCGGGCTTGTTATTATAGGAGAGTTTAAGCAGTCTTAAAAGTGCATATGCAGTATCACTGAAATCAGTACCTATTTTATGATACAGCATATGATCTAAGCACAGCATTCACTTGTTTACAGTGAGTGAAGTTATAGTTGTGTGATTTTTTATGCCTATAGTTGTTAAATCATCTACCATCCCCCTCACGGGAAAAACAAGCGACTCTAACGCGTGTAAATAAAGGCAAATAAAAGCTCATGCTCTCTCCTGCTGATAAAAATAAGTTAAAAAATCCCTGAACACATGCGCAGCAGATCTCCAGGTGCATGTTTAGTTTGAATGCACTTGTTGCTTGAATGAGCAGCAGTTCTCTAAAACCGCCGTTCGAGTCATACTTAGGTTTTTCTTTAAAGGGGACGAGTGATGCAAACTGAGACAAAAACATGGGGGACAAAAGCGCGTGCGTGTGTGTTTATGTGTAAGAGAGGCGGGGGGGCGATACTGACGTATTTTCAGTGTTACCTCAACATTTTCACCGGATCCAGCTTTGACCACAACCTGTGGAGTTACCACAGGTAACAAAGGTCTTGTGGTACAGGAGGATGAAGTGACCCTCACATATTTGTATCAGATTTAGTTTTTGGTTTCACCTTTAAAATTTACAAAATTTCAAGTGTGAGGTGAAATTTTAAGGGGGGAACAAATAATTCAGCTGAAACACTTTAAAAACTGCCAAAACGATTTAATATAATCAAAACTTTTAAGTCTTGTGACATTTGAATGTTTTATGTTCATCCCTAAGGCGGGTCTGTTACAAAAGATTATCCACTATCTAACTCCACAGACGCCTAATTAGTAACACGCAGTAATGAAGGAGGTTGGAGCGACCATATGAGCAAAGCTGGTTTTCAGTGACGGGAGGACGTACCAGCATGTAGTGCCTTTAAAGATCCGAACGTAGTCTGAAAACTGAGGCAGAAAGAGGGTCACTGATGAAAATGTTTGTCTTTCACTGCTTCTAAAATTGCTGATGTATGCTCCTCACTTTATTTACATACTTCTTATTTATTTAAATGTGATGTTTAAATGTGCCACAATTGTACGTTTTACTATTATCTGTGCATAACGAAGGGTCTCCACACAAGTTTTCCACAGTGTGCTTCAAAATCACAGGACCTATCACAGCCTCAGTGTTCTGGAGAGAGAAAAACATCTTTCTCATTTTAGTGAGGAACAACTGTTTCTGATTTCTCTTAGATCACATATCCTAAAAGCACAGGGTTGGGCTAAGGACTTCTACACTCACAGGTTTAAATATTTGATTGCAAAGAGCTCTGCTGGCAAAGACAGTATGCTTCAAATCAACATTTAAACAGCTTTTAGCTTCCTGTGGTCGTCCCTCCTCTTTGTAAAACTTGTGGACATGACTCAAACCTAAAGCAGTTTAATGTAGGTGAGAGAAAACGCACAGTTCTCCTTCCAGTTCTGCTCGTTTTCAGCTCCTTTCTCTCATTCTCCTTTAATAAGACAGCTTATTGGTTTCATCCTGCACCTTTGTGCAGTAAATATTCACTTCACTGAATCAACTTTGACTGCTTAAGCTTCATATTAGCACCAGACAAACAGAAATACCATATATCCTTATTTCTTTCACTGAAAGCACATAATAAAGGAAAGGTCAGCTTTCTCCTTTTATTTCTCCTTATGTGGCTTTAAAGTTGTGAAGATCTGCCAGGTTGTTCCATTTTGTAATTAAATCTATACCTTTCAGCTTTTATAGCCAATACTTTTGGAATTTGAGTATTGCACGTGGTCTCTTTTTGATATTGAAAATATTCCAGGTGGCAAAGATTCTGCTTTTTTTGGGGGAAGTCTTATGACATCTATTAGAAGCTGTTTATGTGCTTTTCATTTGTGAACTTTAACAGATCACAGCTTATTGTTAGAATAAACAGCAAGATAAAAAAATGTGATTCCCGCGAGGATATAAACTTTAACTTTTTTGTTGGGGGGGGCTTTGTTGTTCTTCTGCTTTTGTCTGCACCGTTTCTTTCAGGTTGTTTTGTTTCACACTGTTGAAAGATTCCCATCCATCGTTTCCCGTCTACGTCTGCCCTCCTTTTCCTGTCATCTCTGGCAAAATAATATTTGTTTAAAACGAGCCTAAAATACTGGAAGAAGAATTTACATGTTCCGCTTGTCTGCCGGTCTGTTGCACTGCTTTTCAAGTTACAACAAAAACACAGCTCACACACAGCTCATTAGCTCAGCCAGCATCTACAAAATTGCGTCAATAACCACATTTAACCTTTGACTAACCACCCTGCACCCCCCAAAACACAAACACAGTCAAACACCTCATAACTGACACATAATAACGTTCCTATTCTTGCTGTGAGTTCAGAGACTGTTGAGCAATTCCAGAAACTGCAGCTTGATTTTTCCGTCTCTGTAAAAAAAGAACATAAAAGTAAGCGGGTGGCTCGTCTTTTAAATCGAGGCTCAGTAAAAATTTCTAACCTTACCACGGAGCCCTAAAGCAGACTTGTATTGGAGTGTGTTTAAAGTGCTTTGTGGATGTTTCAGATCAGTACCACCGATGTCTCGTAACTAACAACGCTCGCTGCAGCGCCCACCTGAGCGGTGCACGGCCTTGAGAGGCTTGGCTGCTGCCCACGGCCTGCCGGTGGCAACCAGCCACCAGCGTGTAGAAAAAAGCTGAAAGAACGCACACTCACAAAGGCGTTACAATGCATGCTGGGTTTCCATGGCAAAATGGAGGCAAAGAAACACAGGGGGAGAAAAAAGAAAAGCAATAAAAGCCATGATTGAAAACCTTTTGGGCTGGGCGGAGGGCACACATGCACAGGCAAACAAGACGCAAGGAGCACGCTGATTTACAGAGTCTGATCAGAAACACACACGTGTGCAATAAACTGCAGCATTGTTAGAACATATCGTGCGATCCCACTGGTGGGAGGCGTTTTTAGGACTGGTGGGGGCAGGGCAGCAGCTGGAAATGGGCAGCGGGGGGGTGGTCTGTGTTTGACTGTCCATTTGCCTTTTTATAGCTGCCCACTCTAGTTAGGAAAAAGGGAGAGAGAGAGATCTAGGAGCAGAGATAATGAGGAGGTGGGAGGGTGGGCGGGGGGGTTGACGGCACAGCCTGGACTGACCACTGGATGCAGGCACAAACACACGGCGAGACCCTGTTGAGGCTGCAGAGGTTGTTTTCTGCTGTGCATTTGGGGTTGATTAAAGCAGAGCAGCATTGACACGTTGCTTCTTTTTTCCTGGACGTAAATGGTTTTATCTTTTTAAAAAAAAAAGAAATCAATATTTGAGAGTGGCTGAGATAAGGGTGGGCTGCAGGGAGAGAGAACAGAGTGATATTCTCTGTGTGAACAAGTGAAAAGGCGATTGGGCTCTTTTTTCCCTCTCCTCTCAGGGCACTCAGGATTGAGAGAGGACAAGTAAGTGAGGGAGAGTGTATATAAGTTTGTGTGCCTGAGTGCGAGAGGGAGACAGAGGGAGAGAGCTTTAGTCTGGCTTTTCTCTGCTCTGCCTTTCAGCTCCTCTCTCACTGTAGAAAGAGGCGTGTCCATGGACCAGTATAAAGTCCAAGGAGAGCCACTCGTGTTGAGCCATTCTCAGGAGCGAGTCCTTTGCACACCAGCAAGAGGAGGAAACTGCAGCTGTTACCAAAAACACGGCCTTTCGCTGACTGGCTTTGCATTTGGACACTTGTAGACCAGATTTTTTGGTGTTTCGGCAGAGCGCGGGCGAGCATCGGGACTCGGACTCGAAGACAGAGCAAGCCTCACCTGAACGTGCCGGCGGATATCCTTCCCGCTCGTTCCACCTAAACAAAAAAGAAACCCCCCCAAAAACCCCAAAACTTGTTCTCATCACCCACGAGCTGAGCGCATCAAGAGCAGGCTCCAATTTCTGCGGTGTGAAATTGAATCAGAGCAACGGAGAAGCAGTACAGCAGAGGCATTGTGTGCCTGCATTTGAAACACTAACCAGCTGAAAATATCAAAGACCTTCCAGGACAAAGCGTTCCTCTCAAACCTCTTCTCAAAGTGATTATAAGCTGCACCACATTCAGAAGAGGAGGCGGCCAAAGTGACCATACACAAGGGCAAAGGATTGCGTGCAGGTGCCGGGACTGCCATGGTGCGTGGAGGTGGCGTGGCAGTAGCTCCGTCCTGCTGGGGCCTGTGGGTGTTTGGCGCCCTGTCGTTGGCGGCACTGTGCTTGTCAGACCAGGCCATTCGCTGCCCCGTTTGCTCAGAGGAGCGCCTGGCCAGCTGCCGTCTGCCTGAAGGCTGCGAGGAAACGGTGCGGGAGCCCGGCTGCGGCTGCTGCCCCACCTGTGCCCTGCCTAAAGGAGCCCACTGTGGCGTTTACTCACCCCGATGTGGCACGGGCCTCCGCTGCTACCCGCCGAGGGGCGTGGAGAGGCCGCTGCACTCACTGATGCATGGCCAGGGCATCTGCACTGATGAGAGAGAGGTGGAGGAGAACTCAGGTGAGAGTGAAACCGGGCTCTTCTTCTTCTTGTTTAGTTACGCTCAAAGCGGCAAAGGTCTTTCTCTCATTTGGTGCCAAAAGTGATCTGTCCCAAGCTGAAGCGGCGTCTCTGCAGACCAGAATGTTTTCTCTCTGTGCTCCCCGGACCTTTTTTACCTGATCCGGGCAGAATTGGGGGGGGTGACAATGTGCTGCTTGTTTACCCTAATCTCAGCTAAGCCCTGAAGCAGAGCATGCACATGCACCAGATCCTGATGGGAGAGCGCACACAGTCCCGCCGCTGTCCTGCGGCCGCTCGCTGTGAAAGGGAGCCCTGCTGAAAGATGCAGAGCACCAGGGTGTGCGTGTGCTGCACGCTGCACAAAGTTTACTGAAGGCATCCTGCAAATTTTCTTCTTGTCAGCAGAACTCACGTATGCCATGTTTAAGTGAGGTCCTGCAGGTGAAGTGCAGGCAGTGAAATGGACTGTGGTGATGCTGGAAATGTGAGAGTCTCCGTGTGTGTGTGTGTCCCAGTGAATCTGTGTGTGTTTGTAATGGGAGGAGGTAATAAAAGCTGCTGTATGAAATGACTGTAATGGAGTGTGGCCAGTCTGGAGCTATTAGAGCTCTCTGCAATCAGTAATTTACGTGGTGCTCTTTCATGGATACCCCTGATCCTCCTCCTCCTCCCGCTGCTGCTGCAAACCTCTAACTCTTCTTCTTCTGCTGCTGATGTCTCTATCACACTCTTCTGGCCCAGCTCTCCTTTTCTGTTATTGCATTCCTCTTCCAAAGTCTGTTTCCACTTTCACACAGTGGGATGTCTAATGCTGGATCTGCATATCCAGTTCCAGTTCACTGCACTAACATCAGCTTCTTCCTAACTAGACTCTAACTGCTTGTCTCCACAAAGGGAGTGGTGCTGATTTCCATTAAATCATTTAAGACAACTGTTATAAGGTGGCGGCTCTTTTATTTGTTCCAGATTATCTGCTGCACACATGCTCCCAGACATTTTCTGGTAATAGTAGTAGGATAGTCTTCCAAAGACCTGGACGGGCTTTAGTCGGTGTAAAACTCGCAGGACGCTCATTGTCATTGCAGCATCTGTTTCTCCTGGCCCTGGGAGCACCCCACCTCCTCTCTTGCCCGAACGAGCCCTCGAGCGCATCGCCCACCGTGTCCAGCTCCTTCGTGAGGATGAGCTCATCGGCACTGTTGCTGCCAGAGCTGAAATTAGAGCCTTCTGCTCTCTGCGCAGGGCCAGCATAGGTTAGCCCGGCACATAGCGTGACTGAACGGAATCAGAAAGAAGAGGAAAGCTGTGTTGAGCTTGATATAAAAGGAGAGCTGTTTGGGTCCACACCCGTTTATCTTGCAGAATGTTCTCCCTGAATCTCTCCGATGCTGCATTGTCCAGTTAGCTGAGCTGTAGCACACGGAGGGGACTTGGCGGGTTGGAACATTTTGGAAAAGTTTTGTTTTGGGGGTTTTCTGTAATCCGAGCGCTGGATATCGTTTGCCTCGATGCTCTTTCTCACCCCCGAGGTCTGTCATAACAAAGCAGGGAAGCTCTGCCCGATAAATCTCACTGTAAATCAATTCTGCTGGCAGCAGCTCAGATCTACTGTATGAGAATGTTTAATGTAAACCGTGGCAGACGGGAGACGATCAGAGAGGCACCGGGGAGAGGCAAAAAAGCTCTAGATTTCCTTTGTGGTGCATTCACCGTACTTATGCATTATTAAACAAGGGGGTGCATCTCCTGAATACATGTCTGACACTGCCCCACTCCTAGCAACAGTGAACATGCCAGATAAAAATAGAAAGAGGGATTGTAAAAACCTAGAGAATTCGCAATAAAAGGACCCTGGGATGCAGGCACATCCTAACAGCGTACTGAAGTGAATTTAGGGTGTTCACGCTGGTAGTCACAGCCCTGCAGCTGCTGGCTGGTGCTGCCTCGTGTTTAGGAAAAGTAACATATTAAATCAGGCTGTGAAGAATTATGAGCTATCTGCCCGTTTCTCTCTTCCTGAACTGAATTTCCATAGCAACAACAGGCAGTATCCTGCGCCGCATGTCAAAGTCTAAGGCAGCTTTAGTGCTTCTTAATATTCCTTTCTCAGGATCCGTCTCAATCTTAATACTTAGAATAAATCATCAAGCGTGTGCTGGCATCTGTTCCCGCATTCCTGCTGGGTCTGCCCGGTGTCGGGTATTCAGACGCTTCCCTCTCGCAGTGAAACGGATATTATTTACAAACTGATACAGATGTCAGATATGAAAAGTCTTACACCTACAGGCACAGAGGGAGTTGCATGAATGAAGCAGTCGGCGGAGCCAGACTCTGTTCGACTATGTCCAATTTACTGTGACGCACGTAGGCCTTTATGAAAGCAGCATGCTAACCTAGATTTTTTCTCCCAGCACAATTTGGGAGCTCCGAACTGGTTATTAAAGATGTGCTTTCTCAAAGTTGTCTCGGCAGATGTCATTTCATATTTGCTTTCTTTGGGTCGTGCGGTGCATTTGTACAGCTGGGGCTCTTGTGCAGCCGTAAATGCGATTAGCTAATTGCTGTTCTCTGTGGGGCAGGGACCCCCCTCCAGAGTTGGAGCCGAGAGATACACAAACAACCCAACTCTGTCCCGGCCACGACACATCCTTAATCTGAGGCGAGTGAATCCTCACGGGCTGGGATTTAAGTCTGAGCCAGAAGTTCAGTAAGAAAAATACTTTAGCTCCATCTCCCGAGAACAAATGGACATTTTACCTCCTTCAAGGAGGACATGTGACTGGCTTGGTTTGCCTGTTTGTTAGCAGAACTGCTCGAAGAGTTATGGATGCATCTGCATGAACATTTTTGCCCCAGGTGGGGCTTGGCCCAGGTTAAATGGAGTCCCTGGGAGTCGATCCAGATTTGGATCCAGGAATTTTTGGAAAGATTTTCACCACTTCAAGGTAGAACAAAATTGGACATTTGGTTTTATAGCTTCATGAAAAAAAAAACACATATCAAACAGACGCTGGGAATTATTGTCTTAAAGTTCTCAAGACAATATTACACTCTAATCTGGGCCCAGATGTTTTTCGGAATCCAGGAATTCAATAAATACACTAAATAAATCTTTAAATTTTAAATTTCAGTTGGCCTTGGTGTAGGTATGCACCGTTTGACTACATTTTCACCTCTTAACTTCCACTAGGTCACTTAGGAAGCACTGAGTTTAGAATTAGGGGCCCACATCCTGACCTGTAGATGTGAATCACACTAAACGCCTCACCGGCAACAGTCTTGATATTAAGAGATTAAAAAAAAGTGCGATTCCTCAGCTGTAATCACCAATGTTTGATTTCATTTCCTGTCTTCGCACAGGGGAGCGAATCACTCTGAATGTAAGAATATTCAGCTTACAATCAATCTAATGGAGTAACCCAGAATAGTTTGACCTAGTTCACTATAGATGCAGGGTTCCCTCTATTCACCACAAAGCACCATTAATGCATAAACTCAGCAAGGATTACTGCTCTCTGTGACAGAATTTACTCACAAATCTGTAAGCAAATGAATCTGCAACACAAACAGCAACACGATCCGGCTCCAGAGATATCTTACTGACAGATCCACATCGGCTGAGTTTATATAACAGACATGAATTCAAATTCAGGTTCTGTCTTCATCTCGATTAAAAACAGAATTCCTTCCTGAAAACACGAGAAACTTGGAGGGGGGGGTGAGCCCCTGTTTCTGAAAAACAAGCTTCATTTTCATCGCCGAACAATGCTTTGATCCAAAAGTTTGACACAGGTTCAAGGATAATGTTTATCCTGATGATGATCCATCTGGAAAAGGTTCAGCCCTATCCTTTACTCATGTTTTTCTCTCTGATCCACACCTTTGTGTGTGTGTGTGTGTGTGTTTGTGTTACATCTGGCTTATAAGAGGTTTAGGCTGTAGAGTATTGGGCTGAAGGGGACCTATTATACTTTTCCTTGTTTTCTGTCATGTCTATATTGTTATAACGGAGGATTCTCACACTAAACACGGTTAAAGTTTCAAATAATGAGGTCAGCGTGTGTAAATGCAAACCATGTGGGTCAAAGCTCAGGCTTCATGCTGCTCTAAACGTTCAGTTGCAGACAGTTTTTCTCGGATCGGTTTGCCGTCAGTGAGAGGGGATATCCTTACAAGGTAATCTCAGACGCAAACCTCTGGCTGTGAGAACAGAAGCTTCACGCCCCGCTGTTCAAATCTGTTGTCTGTGAGGGTCAGCCGATCAAGACATCTGCCATTAGGAGCCTAATCAGTGTGTTTGAGCCAGAAGATGAACTGAGGGCTGCATAAGTATACGATTTTGAATCATGAAAAGCTGCTTTGAACCTGTAAATGAGCCTTATAGTTATAGTTTCTGAGTTCTGTTTCTAATTATGCACTTTTTTCTGCTAGCTCCTAAAGAGCAGCCAGTATATAATCAAGCAGGCATTTTTAATTTTACAGATTTATTGCTCCTGATTGGTTTCTAGAGACTGGGATGTCTGTTTTGACATCCGCTGAGCAGCAGCAGGCCGTGCAGTAGCAGCAGGTTTCTGCTTTTGTGATTTAGTGTTGATTTAACTTTCTTTCAACCTTTCCTTTGACAAATTACCCTATAGCACGGTCCAACATTTTCATTGGCCCCGACAGCAGCACTGGTGCTGCGTTAGATTCGAGCTGATGATTAACAGATTCAAAGAAATCTTCTGCCTGGAAACCGAGCGTCTGATACTGATACTCTGGCAGTGTCCAGTGTTGACCAAAAAGAGCAGTCAGTTGGTAGTAAGCCTAGATGAGTTCAGTTTGCTGCCAGAATCGCTTGCAGGGAAGGGGGGAAAAAGCACATAAAAGTGTCACCAAACATTTGGGAAAAGAAGACTCCCCGAAGACCATTTGTTTCAAAAGACATTAGCTGTTGTCAGCGCAATATAAGCTATTCTATCAGGTGTCATTTTAAGTTTTATGTTCAAATCAAACTAATCCTCAATGTTTGGACATAAATAAAACAATGTGTCAGAACAGGAAAGGCCTGAGCCTGATGAGCTGCGGCTCTCGCTGTAACTCAACAGAAGAGAAGAACTTCAAAAAGTTCATTTAAGCTCGGTCATTCAGGAAGGGATCACTGCTTTTCTGGATCAGAAGAAGCCAGTTGAGCAGGTTCGTGTGCCTCCTGGATGACTCTTAGGTGATTTGGTTTGGGCATGTCCAACTGGGAGGAGGTCCTGGGGCCGACCCAGAACATGTTGGAAAGATGATGTCTCTCAGCTGGCTTGGGAATGCCTCAGTATGACACCCACAAGCCTGCAAGAGCTGTTTGGGAAGAGGATGGTTTGTGCATGTCTGCTTAGACTGCTACTCCCATTAACCAGACTTGCCAGAAAAGTGTCAGAAATGGACAGATGCATTTAAGAGCATTGTTAAATACATTACTAGAATCATGAGAGCCGCTAACATGTCAATGGTGTTTCTGTACCATTCAATATAGAGAGTGATGTAGATCATTTATGGCTAACTTAAGCATTTCTGTGATTAATTTCACACAGTTGAAAAATATATTGTCCAAGTACGCATCCAGTCAAAAGTTTGGACACAATGTTTTTTCCAAGAGCTTATTTTTTTTGCAATAATCCAATAAGCCTAAGTAAAAATCCCATTGGCTTTTTGTTTCAGCCACCAGCACAATGTGAACCTCTGGGTTGGCCTACAAAAGAACAGCAACCGTGTGGCACTCTATAAGTAGCAAATACATTTTATAGCTGCTCCTCTTCAGGGTGTGTCCACCAAAACATCTCATTTCTAAATATGCTGTCCTCCAAAGTGATCTCCATGCGCTTTCAGAAAAGTGCTTGATATGATGTTTTCAGCTTTTCAAACCTTTCTAGCCTCACCTTAAACATATTCACAGCATCTGTATCCAGTAGAGCACGAATGAATAATCTGTAAAAGGCTGCATGTCGTGTTTTTGTACAAATGTCTCGTAATGGACGATCTGAGATCTGAGATCCAAGTTAGGAGAAGTATAAACGAGTGGGAAGCACTCTGAGCATAACCAAATATTTATTTGGGGAGAACATTTGTCTTTGGGCTTCACAGCCTCAGCCTTAAAAGCCACTAACAGTGGAATCTGTAATCTGATGACCCCTTCGTGTCACTGCTCTACAGTCTGCAGAGAGAAGGCAAATATATAAACAGACACATGTGGCCTGGACTTGTTATGATGTGGATTAAATAACGTACTGAGACGAACTTGTGTAAAGTGGGGTTTTTCTTTTCAAGCGATGAATGATGCCCCTCGGCACGTCACGCTCACTATGACGAAGACGTTGGCAGCAACGCGAAGACAAATATTTATGTAAAAGCTAGGTTGAGCAAGCAATGCAGTTTATTGTGTAAGAGCTTTTGAGTTTGTCTGCTAAATACTCCGAGTCAGAAGCTGCGTTATCGTTCTGCTAACTTATCACAATGACTAGTTGACGATGACCTAAATCTGCTGATTAACAAACAGGTGAGGGTGTCTGTTTGAACTGAATACAGTCTCAGCTTTGGTTAATTAAAATGTACCTGGTCCCTGATTCTCAGTGCGATTGTCTGCTCACTCCAGCATTTCCTTTATCTCTGCTGTGCACCTGTGACTAACAATGCGCCGCAAATGTGTCAGTGCAGGCCTGACAATGCCCTGAAGGAATGATATTTAGATGCCAAGAGCTGGCGATCCAAATCCGATGAAACCACACAGAGAAGTGGCGACTTCCTCCATGGAAAAACAGAAGTGGTAGCAAACAGGACATGCCACCCCTGACCCACTTTGGCTCGCTCTACGTGGAGTCGGAAAAAGTCTGAACCGGCAAAAGAGGAGAAAGAACAACTAGGAAACAGATGAAACCCCGATGGCTCTTGTGGAAGAAAATGCTGATGAGCAAGGTTTAACAGCAAAGAGACTAAAAATATAAACAGCTGAGATATACTTCCACCCCAGACAAACAAAGCAACATGACCTTTCATGAGGTTTAGAGAAACACGGTCACCGATCAAGTTGTAAAACCCTCTAATCATCCCCAGGAAGTGGCCCGGGATCCTTAAAGGGGCATTCCAGGACATGTTTAAGAGTCTGAACTACAAAGGAAAGGTTTCTGTATTTGAGCCTTTATGCACCTGAGAAAAGGCTGCATGTTGCACAAGATTAAGGAGGCTACAAACCCTTGTTTCACTGTCTATGCCAGGAGCAGTTACCTGGATGGCTGCCAGTGATCAGTGATATTAACCAGAGCTCAGATCTGGTTCAGTGATCAGAGAAAGACCAGTTTAAAAATTGTAAAACTACACTTTGAAGTCCTTTGATTCCAGTGCCAATTTGTAAGAAAGCCATGGATTATGAGCACAACTCCAAAGCGCTGCCAAGCCTTAAACGCCACAGGTGAAAGGCAAGATGCATGAGAACCGAGACTTTAACATTTTATTCTTTACTTCGCCCTTCTCGTGCCCCCAAAAGCTTGTGACAGTGCAAATACTCCCAAACAACCTCCATCTGGTGCGGACTGCGGTTGTTGTGGAGAGGTGGAGAATGACGAGGCAGGGGGGCATTTCCTCAGGAAGCAGCTGGTTGCCTGCTGGGTTCATACTGCAGGATGATGGAGATGCAAAGGTGGCACAGACTCCCCCCTTCATACAAACAGGCAGGAACAAGGCTGCGTGTCCTTGTAGTTAACCTGGCCTCGTTTTTAGCCTACATTCACCACACTGTTGGCTGACCGAGGAGGACTATTAGAACAGAACAGTTAGATGCTTCACTTCACACTTTTATCATTTAAATGAGAAATTATTAGCTTTCACTGCCATTCCTGAAGTAAACTTTCACCAAAATACATTTTGGACTGTTGGTAAGACAAAATAAGGTATTTGAAGTCGTCAAGGAACGCACTATTTAACTTTCTGGAGCTCCTTCTGTACAGTTAGGTTCATGCCCCCATAAAGGAACTGCCAGTAAATAAGAAGACTTCTAGAAAAGTATTTTATAAACCTGTGAATAGCATTTTTTTAAAAACACATTTAGTTCAAGGATTCATAAACCGCTTGTTTGAATTTGAAGATCTAAAGTTTTACTTCTTGTTGTTTAGCTATGGACAGGCAGGAAGAGATGACTCCCGAACACCCGAACAACAGCAATATCCGGTGCAGTCCACAGGACAAGAGGTGCATACAGAAGACCCTGGCCCGGCACCCTCCAAAATCCACAAACCTGAGAAGCAACAACGCCAGAGAAGACGCCAAAGCGATCCTGGTGAGAGAAATGATCCTCGGGCATTTCTTACGTTTCACAGAAAAAACAAGAAACCCAGCCGATGTCCGCTGCAGCGAAATGCATGAATCCAGCAGGTGTTTTACATTACGGCTTTACAGTCCCAGAGTCACAAGCGTGTAACAGGCAGGTTATAAATTGAACAAATTAGTTATTTACAGGCTGGAACATTTGGTCTTGTGAATGAAAGTACACGTGCATATTTTCATTAGCGTGCCATTAGCTGTTCAAACCTGGATCCTAATCCGTCACAGGCACGTTATTCAGCGCATTCATTTCGCACAGACATGTGGAACATCGACGCACAGAAATAACACATTTAGAGCTCGAGTTCACATTTCTCAGGGTCAGATGCTGGGTACAAACACACCGGTGTCTTCTGTGCACTCAGATATAACGCTGTGCGGCTTCAACCGCAAAAAAAACGACAACATTTTAATCCTATCCCCTTCAAGGGTTTCTCCGTGAACACTTTAATCAGGTACCATCTTTAAATTGCTCCCTGTGAAAGCCTGCTCTGACGACTTCCTGCGCTGGACCCCAGCCATGTTTTCTTAGTTTTCATTTTATTCTGGGAAAAGAGGAGGAAGAGGCAGGGCAGCCAGATCTGTCAGCAGGGTGGGTGGTTAGACTGTGCTGGTGTGGTCATTGCCACAGTTCGGATGAATACTCGGCACTGACAGTCTGACCCTGGGGAACAAACCAATGGTGCTCAACCCTCTGAATATTTAAGAAACACGCAGGCGTGCTCCTGATGGACCACCTTTGTGTTGGGACACCACTATTTGGATAAGTAATAGGTGGAGACCCATGATAATCTTTAACATGGGATTATTGATGCAGAATGGTAAATAGCCTGTATTTATATAGTGCTTTACTAGTCCCTAAGGACCCCAAAGTGCTTTACACATCCAGTCATCCACCCATTCACACACTGGTGATGGCAGCTACATTGTAGCCACAGCCGCCCTGGGGCGCACTGACAGAGGCCGATGTTCTACGAAGAACTCGCAAATGAGCACGTTTAAGAGGTCAGAACGGGACATCCACAGGCCGTTCAAAACGTAGGAGTCGACCTTAACAGGGTAGCTGCCAAATCAGGGTTTTAGCTTTTTATGGGTTGAGTCACAAAGTGCAGTTTGTGAGTAATCAAAATGTTTTTCACTGTGTTCTGAAATCGTGTTTCTGGCATTACTCATCACTTTTCATTACTGACTACAATGGTAACTTAAGATGGGTGACGCTTTTTAAAAGTAAATCTAAACTTGCTCGAGATTTTTCCATGATTTTAATGAGCAAAGAGAATAATTTTCTTCCATTTTTTTAGTGCCTGTTTATTTGTGTGGTTGACAGCTGGTCTTTAAACGTCAAATCAAATCTTATTGCTCCTACAGGCCCCGTGTCGTGCCGAGCTCCAGAGAGCGTTGGACAGATTGGCATCGAATACTCGCACACACGATGACCTCTTCACGATCCCCATACCCAACTGTGACAAAAATGGAGATTTCCACCCTAAACAGGTCTGTACTTTCCAGCTTTCACTCAGTGTGAAATGCCGAGCAGACCGCAATCTGACCATGTCAACTGGTGAACTGTGAATCTCAATCATGAAGCCGTTACCAATAAAAATGCCTATCTTTATAGTTCAAAGAGTTCCTTTCAAACTACATAAGCAATCTTCTCGCCAAGACACAAAACATGCCTGCAGCTGATGACATACAGTCTAAATCAACACAAAAGTGTCTCCAAGCAGACTGTCACGGTCATGCCAAGATCGTTATTGTTCTAAGCTCACATGGAAAGTGATTTACTCTCAGAAATCAAGACTGTGTGTAAAGCGGTTTCCCCTAAACTGTTGGACAGTAATCACTTTGTTGTTGCGATGGATGCAATTAGTTCTTGGATGAAGTTACCTGCTTTTTTTTGGGGGTTAGTTTATTTTTTTTGCCTTTGAGAGATTGGGCAAGCGTGCAGATAAGAGTGAGGGAGAATGAGAGGAGATAGGGCTGCTCTTGAGCTCTTGATAGAGCTGCACATGCAATCAAAGCAGCAGACGCAGAGTCAGTGATAAAAGGCGAGCTCTGCTAAGGCACCCGTCATCAAAAGTCTGAGCTGTGCAGATTGTGTAACACGGCTAAAGTATCTCTCTCTGCTCAGATTCGCAGGCATCTGTTTACTGTTTAACTAAAACTGCGCTGTGATAAAACGTATTGGGAAGTAAAGCACAGGTCATTGGGGACAACTGGGAATCATTTCATGGCAGGGTTGCTCTGAGATTGTTAACTCGTCTGTGTTGGTGATGGGAAAAGTGCAAATGCACACAATAAATTTAGTATTACAGTAACTGCTGAAAGCTCAAAAAAGGAATGCTTTAGCTAAATAATTCAACTGCTTTAAACACTTCTCACACTCTGTTTGGATCCACTGGGTATAATTTCTGTAATGTGTGATTGTGTTTTTAGCAAAGTAAGCAGCATTATCTCAATCTGGAGCTGCGATATTACATTTCGGTACAGTGGGAATGTCTTTAAATATCACAACGAAGGTCTTCTTTTCATTGATGAGTCTTGTTACACTCCTAGCAAGACTTGTAGAGTCCAAAAACAAAAATATGCAGGAACAAATTAGCAGAATAGGTTCTGTTTAAAACTCCATGCAGTCAAAACAAAGCAATAATTTACCAAACGTGGACAGCGCCATAAAGTTGATATGACCTGCAGAGCTGTATGTCTCCTCTGCCTCACAGTTAGTCCAGAAAAACTGTTACAGAACTAGAATAACGCCTTTGTCTTTATGCTTGCAGTGCCACCCTGCACGTGACGGCCAGCGGGGAAAATGCTGGTGTGTGGATCAGAAGACGGGCCTGAGGCTGCCGGGGCCGCTGGAACTGCGAGGGGATCTAGACTGCCACCAGTTAATTGCTAGCCTGAGGGACTGAAGACGAGGGAGGAAGCAGTGGGGGTGCAGGACCAGCTGAATTCTACTGGTGCTTATTAGTAGAACTATATGACTAAAGGACTTCATTCTTAAGCCTCACTCTACCTGAGGCCAACGGTACTTGAGCTTGTGCAACAAAAAGGAAACCATTGAATTGAGTTCTTTTGCTATCTTGTTTCTGTGTGTGCGGGTATGTGATACGAGTCTTTTGAGCACTTGTTCTGTTTTCTTTGTATCACGTGAACTTTAGGCCAATAGTCCTCAGACACATGTGCTTTAAAGTACCAGATGGCAGAAGAAAGGCACACATACACTTCCAGATAACAGTTGTGGTTGTGATCTTTGAGAAAGAGAGAATGCAGAGCGTGTCATTTTCTCTGGTTTAGTGTAGCATTCTGGGAAAAAAAGCAGTCACTCCACCCAACAATCAAACCTGAGATTAAACATTTGGTTCATTCTTTCTGGAGCACTTATTCACCTGAATTTCTGGACAATCCGGAAAGATTCTCAAAAGACTGTGCACCAGCTTCTTGTTTTTTAAGTAACTTGTGACTCTTAGTCTGCTATTCTTCCTTTTGTAAACCTAACTCATCTAATAAGCAAGTGAAATCAAACCATAAAATGCGTTTGCTTGCGTTTGATAAACACAAAGTTTACTTCAGCCACGGCATCAGAGTAGCAATAACAGATGGGACGAGAACGAGAGAAAGAAACAGGGAAGAAAAGGAATGCATCAACCCCTGTCTCGAATTACCAAAATGATAAGCCATAGCTTTTCACACCACAAAGACCAAAGTGAAAAGTGAGATTAGTCTGCAAATCTGTATCTCACAGAGCCCAGAATAGTTTTGCTTCATCACCCCGTGGTTAACTCTGCACCCCCTCCCTCTTTGAGCTCTCTCTAGCATAAAGGACTGGCAGCGTAGCTGGGTTAGAAACTCTGTGCACTGCTGATAGGATAATCTTGTTTCTCCAGCTGGTGCTAAGATGCCAGTAGGACTCGTGTTTGTATGAATATGCTCCGATGTAGGGGATTTATCTCCAAACAGACTGCATGGCAGAACTTTCGGTGGTGCTACATATTGATTGTGCCAAAATACAAAAGAAAGAAAAAAAAAAGGAAAATGTTTCTGCACTTTTTGGGTATTGTTTCAGATTGGAGTGACGAGGGGAGCAATTAGCATCAGCAAATGTGAGGATCACCTTTGTTTGAAAAAGGCTTTTCCTGCAGGTTTTCAGTGTTATTGTCAAATGATAAAAAAAAGAAAATCCCACGTTAGCTTTGCACTATCACTGCAGCTGCCTGGCTGAATGTTTCATTAGTCAGTTCTGTAAATATAGAAGCAGAGTGTAATAAAGTTTAATGATTAAACTCCTCGCAGCAAAGTAAACTTATAGCCAACATAAAATTGGGCTTGGATGACTGCGGCGAAGCAGTAAAGATAACGCAGCGATGATGTGGAAATAAAAATTCCTCAGCGTATCTGTTATCACGCATCTGTTGAGGATTACAATAATAATTAAAGGAGTTCATTATCAGTGCAAATGTCACGGTTTTCCATCATCGGCTGCATGGACGACTTTGGTTGTTACTGACTCAAGAAAAGATTGTTGTTGCTGTCGTTGTTGTTGGTGTCCTGGCAGTTTGGGCCCAGGATTCACTAGAAAAGGTTCAAAAACCAAAGAACAGAACAGCATTAACATTAACCTAACAAAGCACTGGTGTGTGGGCTATAATTTTAAGATGTATCGAAAACAAAAAGACACTTAATACAAAATTTTGGCTTTCTTTTTACTTTCTGTATGTCCACCAACTGATTTTACCTAAACAATATTTAAGTTTTAAATCACGGAGCGGTACGTTCAGCTCCAAACTGAACAATAAACGTGCCATGAAAATTCATTCATTTTTGCTTTTTACCTTTCCCACAGTGCATTGGGTTTTGACTTTATAAAAAGCAGGACAGATAAACAGAGACTGAGAAAAGAAAAATAATCTGAGCTTATCTCTCGTGCTTCCTGGGAAAGGTAGTAAAATATATAACCAGTGACAGCTGCTTTCAGCCCAGGTCCCTGTGGAAAACTGATATTCCCAATGTTAATGTGATCGTTTTCTCTTTATGCAACTTAGTCAAGAAATTGGATTTTATTGGACTTATTATGCTCATTGCCAACTCCATATCTTGATTCTTAGATTCTAGTAGAGCAGCTTCAAAACAGCTAAAATAGCTTAAAAGTAATGCTCATTTATCTTACACTGGGTCCTGGTGCTGCCTCCCTTTTTAGCTCCCTTTAAGCCAACTGTGCTGTCTGGCAAACAAACAATCAAGGGGTCTTCTGCCATAGACTGTATATTGAAGATAGATGCAATTTCTGAGTTTACGCCCATGTGGAAGAGTGCCTTAAACTTAAAGAACAGGCAGCAGAGGGCAGGCCTCTTAATTGTAAAGAGAAACCCAACTGTTTAAGTCTATGGGAAAATGGCCCTCAGCTCTCTGACTACTTCTGTATACATTATGATTTATATTCCATAAATTAAAGTTGCCATTAGTGTCCAGGATACCTTATGACTGAACCTTGTGACTAAATGAGTAAATGTGCTAGCGTGCACTGTCCAGGTTTTAAATCAGATCTGCTCCCATGTTCATGACATCTGGTTTGAAAACACTAAGACAGCGAGGTGAAGACCCTCATCACGATGGGTGTCCTCATCTTTTATATACAGTCTATACGTATAAAGCCAAGAGGGATGAGAAACAAACAAACAAACAAAAAATCCCAAATAACAGAGCATTTAGAGCACTCTGCACATTGGACAGTGTACCTGTACTTTTCTTTCTTTCTTTTTTTTCCAAATGGAAAACTGTCAAAAAGGTTTATTATGATTAAACCCTGTAATGTTTAATCATAATAAACAATTCGAGCAACAATGACCGAGCTCAGCATCTTTTCTTGTCTCTGTGTTAACCAAGTTTTGCTCTCATATAAAGCATGATGAAGTTTCCACACACAGGTTACAGGGTATAAAAGTAACAATAAAAATCCAAATAAATCAAGCTGCGATAATCTAATCACTGAAGCCAACGCTCAGTTTAAACATTTTTAGATACAGCGCATGTCATTGACGTGCAGTTTTAGTTGGTAGTAAAAACAGAAATGCATCCAAAGGTAGTTCAGGTAACCACAGATAGATAAGTAGAAGATGGTATGGGTGGAGAATAATTGCTGCGGCTTGAGAAAATCAAACCGAAGACTACGAGCACGTTAAAATAAAGACGCCAGTTCTCATTCAGTGAACTCACAAAGATTGTTCCAGCAAATCCTATCTTGCAATTCATCGACTAATGAAGTGTTACTAAACACATTTGTCTGTTAAAACAGTCTTAATCCTTGTGAGAGATGGAAAATGGTTTTGGCTTTGACTGTGTAAAGGCCTTCTAACTACATAAATGGTGTATTTAAGCTATAGTAAGTTGCTTGTCCTCTGACTTTGCTGTACTGAACTGTAATTACATTTCTCGACAATAGACTGTTCGCATTTGATATTATCTGTTAATGTGTAGAACATATGAAGTAATGTTTGCATGCATACAAATGGACTGAGGTTGGGAACAGCTGAAGTCTTGTGTATGTTTCCAGAACAGGATTGTTATACTTAAACACTGAAGTGATCAAACAACTGAAATATAGAGTTTCAAATGAAATAATCAGCTACATTTTAAATGTTTTCCTGATGAAAATGTACACATTGTAATACAACGATTAAAATACATAGAAACTACAGTGTAGCTTGGTGTTATTAGTCGCAGCAGTGATATAAACCTGCATTCCTTCTGATGTCCAGCAGGTGGCGAGTCCTTTGGCTGCCAAAAGAAATAAGATTGTATTAACTGAGAATTTAAAAAATAAACCTTCCACTAAATTCTTTTGTGACCTCAATAAACATTGTTTGGTTGATTTCAAGGTCTCAAATGCTAGTTTAACATAGAACAATGTTAACTTTTTAAAGTATTGTCACATTTAGAGTAAAACTGGACAAAAAGAAGGATGTGCTTTATGGTGTGACTATATCCTCTATTGTTTTAGTGAGGTGGTGCAGAAAAAAACCCATTTGGTACCCACCCTAATCAGGTTTAATGTAGAGTGAAAGAAAACTAACCTGCATTACATTTGTAACCATTTTTTGTTACCTGGCTTTTCACATATCCAAGCATAAGAGATATTTCTGTTTATTAAATCTGCAGATACAAATAAATACATAGATTTGTCCTGTAAGGGTAACACAGATTCTTCACCTTACTATTTAGGACTAATTGTGTTTTTGTGTCTAGTCACCCACCAAAAAAAAAAAAAAATCTGCAATGGGTGACATCATTTATATACAGTCAATGTTTATAGCAGATATAGTTCCACCGATCATGGAAAACAGTCATCTGGTTGTCATAAAGTAGTGTTTTTGGTTTTTATCCCATTGGGAAACGTGATTTCTTGGAGTCCTCGCTTCCTGAGTACAAATGCAAAAAGTTCACTTGAGCATTTGTGGGATGTGTCTGACGCACAGAGGCCTCACACTTCGACCCTCAGGGCCCGAAGTACCGACTGCCAAATTCCTGGGGTCTGTCCATGCCTTGACAGGTCAGAGTTAAACTGAAGGCACAGTTGGATGTGTACAAAGGTAGCAAAACACTGTAGTATAAAAATGTCAGATATATTTTGGAGAATGGTGCATCAAATCTGAAATATGCTCTATTTAGTGTTATTATTATTTATCAATAAAGACTTGGTCTTATCATTTCTTATCAGTGTCCCAGTTTACAACAGTTAATTATAGTTCTTAGTCTTGAAGCGTTTTTTTCTTTTAAATATCTAAGTTGTTTGTATCCAATCTCAGATCTTTACTGACTCTTCTGTTAAACATGCTCTTGCAGTGAATCGTATGTGAAATATTTCTGTGATTGAATAACTAAATATGAGATCCATTTTTCTAGTGAATATAATTAACTCATGTTTAAATAAATAAATAAATATAGATTCCAGTGTTTGTCTGTCTCTGGCAACCATGTGTGACTATTTCACTGTGCTTACATGGGATTTGTCAGATGTGTCAGATAAGTGAAGGACAGCATTGCCCACCTTTGAGCACCAGATCATCATAAAGTTGTTCGAGATACTCAGACTCAACAAACCCAGTGAACTTCTGTCCCGGGGCCAGTAAAAAGTATACTGGGCAGCTGGATGGATAATGAGTTGACGAATGCAATGAACTGAAGCAAACTATTCTTGGCAAGCAGTTTTTCACCACAGTCAGTATTTTTACTTTAACACTGTGAGGTCAGAGGTCATCATAGGTGGGATATTTAAATGTTATATTTCAAAGCTGTTAAGTACAGATGTAAGGATGACATAGAAGGGTTAAAGAGAGTGTATGAGGCAAGGAAAATAAAGACGCTGTGCTTAGAGTCAATGAAAACAGCAGGAGGGCTGCATTGGTGCAAGACTCGGAACAAATCTTTCACTTATATATGCAGTAAAAAGATTGTAGCGAGCAACACATCTGCTAATAAAACGTTTCAGCTCAGGTGGACTCAAACAGAGAGCAGCAGCGATGATGCTCAGGAACGCTTTGCTGTACCATAAAAGATAAAAGCACAATTGCACCTCCACTCACACATGGTGAAGCAGCCTGCAGAAGACGGAGACACTGTGGTCATAAAAGGATGGACACGGTCAGCAACGATACTAAGGCAGGTTAAACAATGCTGAGTTAGTACTAAACAGCCCAAATATCCCCCAGCACCACCACTAGCGCGAACCGCTGATGCAAGGAAAGATGCATCCACTCCCTCGCTCATGCCAGTTACACCAAATTCTGACCATCCAAATGTCACAGCAGAAATTGAGACTCATCAAACCAGGTAACGCTTCTCCAATCTTCTCCAATTTTGGCGAGCCTGTGTGAACTGTAGCCTAGGTTTCCTGTTCTTAGCTAACAGCAGTGGCACCTGGTGTGGTGTTCTGCTGCTGTAGCCCATCTGCTTCGAGACTAAGGCTACGTTCACACTGCAGGCGAAAGCGCATCAAATCCGACTTTTTTGACCCTATGCGACCCATATCCGATCATGGTATGACAGTGTGAACGGCACAAATCCAATATTTCAAATCCTATGTGGTACTGAGCCCGATACATATCTGATGTTTTAGAAAGCGAATGCTGTTTGAACGGTCATGCCGCATTAAACCCGTCTTTTACGTCACTGACACAAGACAGACACCAATTATCAGCGCCCGAGAAGACATCGCGAACGCTTCCTGGCCATCCAGTGTAGATGTCAGTGAAACTGTCGGGAAGACAACGTTGGAGAAACGTGAACATTTTATTTGTACTGTATAATCTGCAGATTCTGACAGAAATCTGCAACTATCCTTTGAAGCACCGCTCCTCTAAAACAGCAATAAGGATCATTATTAGGACATTTGTAAATAACAAAATAACTTTTTAACTTAAAGCAAAATTGGGAAACGTAAAGTCTGAAACAAGTCTTTTAAGGCCATTAGTCAAACAATACTGTTTGCTCTGGGTCTAAACAGAGCGCGTTGTGTGCGTTTGCTGTCACATTTTATTTGTAGTGTGAACAAGCAGACAAAAAAATCGGATGTGATCAAAAAATCAGAATTGAGCTTTAAGACTTGCAGTGTGAACGTAGTCTAAATGTATCTTTGGATAGGTTCTGCATATCTTGGTTTGCATACCTTGAGTTACTGTTGTCTTGCTATCAGGGCGAAGCTGTCTGGCCTTTCTCCTCTGACCTCTGGTATCAATGAGGGATTTTCAACCAGAGAACTGCTGCTGACTGGATATTTTCTCTTTTTTGGACAATTCTCTGCGAACCCTAGAGATGGTTGTGTGGGGAAATCCCAGCAGATCAGCAATTTCTGAAGTAATCAGAGCAGCCTGGCACAAACAACCATGGCAGTTTCAAAGCCGTTTAATTACATTTCTTCCCCATTCTCCTGCTCGGTTTTAGATTCAGCTGGTAGCCTTAACCTTGTCCACATGCCTAAATGCACCGAGTTGTTGCTATGTACATGCCTGATTAGATATTTATCACGATTAGTTATTTATATCACTTTAATGAGCAGCTGAAACAGTGTACTTAACTGAGTGTTACTCTGGGCTATTGTGACCAAACTAAGCAGGGTATAAGCCTCTGAATAAAACGTGACTACATAATGAGCTTTAGTGATCTGGTGAACAAAAATACATTTTTGAGAAAAAAAAAAGTATATCAAGTTGTTGCCTGGAGACCAAATGTAGAAAAGGAAATATTTAGAAGTTACGACAGAAAATATGTACAAGGAGAATTTATGTTCTCACATCTTAATCTGGCACTATATATTTCCCTCAGCCTACAGTGAAAGCTTTTTAAATTGACGCATTAATCATAAAACTCGATGCAGTTATGCAAGGAACCTCTGGAAGGTTACATCATGATAATGTGTGTTTAGCAGCTTCTAAAAATATCTCTGCCATCTAACACCAGAGTAAACTTTCACGTCTGCTTAGTTCCACTGCCTGAGTCTATTTTGGTTTATATGCCTAAGGACTGATTGTGCATTACCAGAGGAGCTTCATGGACTCATTTAAAGTGTCACATGGGATATTCTGCCTCTGGGCATCCACAATCCCACAGATATACCTGGGAGGCCCTGCACAAATGTCTATGTAAAGCCTGCATTGTAACTGAACTTGCAGGAAGCATGTGATCTCCACCCTACCTCCAGATGCACTCTGTTGCAGGTGTGCAAGGTTAAACAAGGTCCTTGCCATGCCTCATTTGGAATCTGTTCTCTGTCTCATCTGTTCAGGTTTCTGGCCTTTTGTGACCTGGAGAGTCAAAGGAAGGTGAAGCACCAGATGAGCTCTGAATGCATATTGTGCAGGAGGCAGGTCATGCAGAAGTAAAATAACCTCTCAAGTGTACAGAGTAAACAGAAAGAAAGAGGGTCACAATGACCACAATCAATTAACAAATTCAAAACAAGAACTATTCAGGCTGAATGGGCCAAATCCCACGGGCTTTTCTTTGTTTTTTTTAGGGAACTCACTATTAGAACTATTGACCTGGGCGGCTCTCAGACAATGTGAACAAGAATGCAAAGTATTTCAGTTCTAACAACATGGGAGCAGTGAATGGGGCAACCTTGAGTTTATCAAAAGCTCACAAGCCTGTGAAGCATCCATAATGCAGCTTATGGTATGGTGACATAAGAAATCATTCCTGATTTTCCCCTATATTGCAAGAAAAACGAGCTTACTGCCTTAAAATGGAAATAATATATGCTTCCCACAGGTGATGGCTGCAGAGCATCTGCACTGACCTGGCTGATTTTTGACAGGGGTGACAATGCAGGTCAGCTTTTCACAATCCGGGAGCAAACTGCATCATGCTACGACGTTGCACATCTGCAGCTTAAATCTAAAGCCACGCAGGGAAAATGTGAAATCCCACTCAGCAGCTCTGTTGTTGCCATATGGTCTTTTTTCCTTCTGAATGCTGGAGGAGAAACGTCTCTGCTGTCACTGCTGCAGCGGTGACAGCAGAGAGCGATGAGCATCAGCATCGAGCCGAGGCACAGCTGTAATAAGGAGAGGGTGGGGGTGCAGTTCTAGAAGATTCTGCAGGAATCATACGAGTGGACCCCATTTCACTGGTTTATTGTGGGAACTGTATTACTAAGCTAGGTGGTTAGCCTTCCCTGCCAAAGCCACAACCTGCACACAGTGGTGGGGACTAAAGGTTTTGGGGTGAGTTTTTTGCCCTTTAGTATTCATGCTTGCAGATTACGTGGGAATTTCAAACAACTGTAAACATGTCGGCTTTGCCTAACGCTGCATGCTAATAATAATCATAGGTGTCATTC